AGCTGTTTAGATTTTGAACATGCCCTTTCTCTTTCTCATACTCTTCTTCGTTTATCCGGGACCAGGTTGCAGGAGCAGCGGCCTCAGCAGAGTCTCCTAAACTTCCCCCTCCACAGACACATCCTCAAGCTCCTCTGGGGGAAGCCTACGGTATGCCAATGCCCAACAAGAGACATAATCCCTCCAGAATGTCCCGTGCCTGAGGGAGGCTTCCAGGCACACATTCCAAACACATGCCTGAGCCACCTCAGGTGACTCCTCTTGCTAAGGAGGAGCGGTGGCTCTGCCTTGGCTCCTCCTGGATGACCAAACTCCTCCTCCTTTCTGTAAGGGAGTGCTCAGATGCCCTCACAGGGAGCTAATTTCTGCTGCCTGTATCTTGGATTGTTCCCATTCTTATTTGCTGAACAGCTGAAGACTGATTCCCTAATTTGGGGGAATATGACCCCATCTAACAACTTATTCTGCTTTGATCTGAGTAATCAGTGATTGCTGTGGCTGTTTGGGGTCATTGTCTTGCTGGATTGATTGACTTTATTGATCTGACAGTGGAGAAATTTACTAGTGACATCGGCCCAAATAGAAAAAGAAGAAGAAGGTGCCAAAAGAAGAAAAGGTGCTGTCATGATTTTATCTAAATATCTGACCCAAATGCAGAAGACCAAACAGAGAGACCAGGGAAAAGTTTAACAGGTTTTATTTAGAGCAAGCAGAGAGGAGTCCAGTGCTGCTCTGAACACTGTGGAACCGGGACTGAAAAGTCAAGGGGAAGATTCTGCGGTTAGTTCAGGCTCAGTGGGGAATTTGTGTTTCTTGATCGAAGAAGGGAAATAAGGCAACAGGACTCACGTTTCCAAGAAAAGGTGTCTCTTGTTAAATCCAGTCGGTGTGGGTTGTTCCAGTGAATGTCTTGCTCGTTGCAGGGCGGACAGGGTTTACCCAGATGCGTTTTTTCCTTGAGTAACGGAGGAGCTGACTGCCACTTAATTTTCCTGCGGTACTTGAACGGTTTCTTGTGGAGATGAATCCCCTGCTCAGAAAGATGCCCAAACAATCCTTGGGGGAAAAGTAGATCCAAACCACAAGCTTGCATCCTCAGCTTAGTTTGGTGCTCAGAGAATCCTTCCAGGGGGGAGAAGGTCCGAAACATCCAGTTTGCAGGATGACTTCCTGCCGAGAGGCAAAGACAAAAATAACAAGGTTAAACTCAGGTTGACAAAAACTCAGTTTGACTCAGCAAAACTCAGCTTGTCTAGAGCAGCGGTCCCCAACCACCGGGCCGTGGGTCATTTGGTACCAGGCCGCACAGAAAAAAGTATAAAAAGTTGCGGTATTCTCTCCCAATTACATCAGTCGATGCATCTGTGCCTCTTGACACAGGTTAATTCAACCCCCCCCCCCCACCCCCCAACCCCCCCGGCTGGTCAGTGAAAATATTGTCTGACATATAGCGGTCCGTGGTGCAAAAAAGGTTGGGGACCGCTGTCTAGAGTACCCAAAACTGGGAAAACCCTCTGGCCTCGAGGTAGTGGCAGTCAGCAGCTTAAGATTCCTCAGGTAATGAGGCAATGAGCTGCAGGTGTGCAGGGTGGCCCAAAGAGAACGGGGCCCCACCTGGTGGAGGAGAAAAGGAAACACAAAAACAACCCACAAAAACTGGATTCCTGACAGGTGCGTATATATATATATATATAGACTTAAAATTCATCCCTGCATTTCACATCACTGTGACTAATAGTCTAGTTTACTACATCCACTTTCCTGTCATCTCTAACCAACTTACCACCAGTCATAAACATTGGTCACCTCTGACCAACATTCAAAAAAAGTTTTAAAAAAACAGTCCACTGGACTTTATGAGATTTTTCAATTCAAAATGTCAGAAGAGCGTTGAGTTTGAGGTTTTATAGGGTGGACCAAAAACAGGTCCAGCCCTTTGGAATGGGGGTCATTTGGCTTTTTTTGTTAGCCTGCAAAGCCCCATACCTGTCTATGTCTCTGAAAGGGGGGTCGTTAATACGTCGTTGCTCAATTTTCATGTTTTCTAAACAAAAACAAGGCTTTGTTGGGCTACTGTATAAGAGCCTCAAACTAAACGCTATTTCTGAGAATTTGAATTGAAAAAGCTTCCTTGATGGGAAGAGAAACGTCTTCAAACTTGAAAACAAAGTCCTTTGGATTGCTTTTTAACTTTTTTGGAATGACCACAACCTGGATGACAGAGAATTTTCACCAATGTTCATGACAGCTGGTAATGAATAGAACTCCCACAGCATGATGCTGCTTTCAACATGTTACTGTGTTTCCAGATGTGATTCATTAGCTTTCTGCCAGTCAGGTATTCTGCATGTCGTCCAAGGGAAACCTTTGCAAGGTATGCAATAGGGGTGGGTATTGCCAAAGACGTCACGATTCGATTTGAATCACGATTCATATGCCACGATGCGATTTTATCACGATGCATCACGATACTTGAATTATTGCGATGCATTGCAATATTTTCTCCTCCATGTTTTGTTTTTTAATGACTCGTCGCAGTATCCCGTGGCCGGAAATGCTTGTGACACAAGGCAGCGTGCGTCAACACATCCGCAGCGATATCTACTGGACTGGAAGTTGTATTACACTTGTTTTTGGCTGATGTTCGCCAACCATTCATGCAATTTTATTTATACAGTTTTTAAAATAATAATCGATACTTTGCGTCAAGAATCGATGCAGTAGATCACGAAAATTAGAATCACGATGCATCATCATGACGATTATTTTGCACACCCCTAGTATGCAATATAACTTAAACATGCATGTCGCTACAGGCATGCATACGCATTCTCTTTCCCTTGCTTGCTGTTTCTTACATCGCTTCAGCCAATAATGAATCACTTAAATCCATGTTGCATAATGAAACGTGTTTAAACATCATGCAAGAATAAAAAAAAATACCTGCACTGTCCTCTGGCTTCTAAAACTGAAGCAGAGGAAAGTACATATCCCCTTCAGTCTTTCTGCAGGCATTCCCCCCTGCTTTCACCTCTCTTAACCCTGAGTAAGAAACATCTGCTTTCCCCATTCAGAGGGAGTTTGCTGCTTTAATAGCTCTGGGCGTATTGCCTCGAAAAATGAAAAAAAAAACTCCTCTGGCTGAGCCCCTCCAGCTCTCTCATTTGTAGTCTGTACCACAGATGTAAGGGAACGTTCTCTCTGGTCAGCCTTAGCCTTTGTGGAGGCAATCTTGACCTGTTCCCAGCACTCTGAGTGTGTTTCTGTGAGCGTCTGTCTATGCATCCAGGGGTCATTTCCATGAGAATGGAGTGCGGAGAATGGACAGGGGGCCACATTTTATTTGTCTGAGGCCACTTCAGATGTAGTTCTAGGGTGCACAGGGGTTTGAGCATCTATCATGTTCTGAATGATTGATGTTGCTCCCTGTTTCTGGTCATCCTGTGATGCAGAGACTCTTGGGTCAGGTTTTGTATTAGAGCTTAGAGATACCCTCTCACAAGTCAATTCCATCTGTGCATCAAAGTGCAAATGCTTGCAAGATCTCTATTTGTTTACTTTATTAAGCTGACATGACCATGGGTAAGATTAGTAATAGTGTTATGTCACATTTATAAGTAACTTTTAAATGGAAAAGTCCGGTCAGCAAGAAATAATCAGTAGATCATTATCTATGCCTAAAACTAATACCTTTGCAGTGATTTAATGAATTTAGTGTTAATCAGTAAAAAATAAGAATAATTTTCTTCGCAATTGCTGAGTCTGGGAGGCGGCCATCTTTGCCCAAATATAGTAGCCCCTCCCTCCTGCCATCTTCCAGCAGTGACGTCACAGTGCGGTTAGCCTAGCGCCATTCTCCCCGCTTGACAAGCAAAATCAATGGGAACTACTAGACACATCTGCAATCAACAACAATTATTGAAGATTTCCAGAGGACTTCACCATTGAAATTCACCAGAGCTACCCGATAGAACTCTGTCTATATGTATAGTTTATTCAGCTATTCTTTATTTGTGCACATTAATTATGTTTTTGATAAAAATCCGTTCGCTGAAATGCCATCAGAACACTTATTATATTAAGTGTGTCTCCAAAAAGCTCCTAGCGCCAAATCTAGCGACTTTTTTCTGCTACTGGAGACTTTGGAGACAACATCTAAAAGCAGCGAACTCTGCTCTCCAGAGCGAGTAGATTGGTAACCCCGCCTCCTGCTCTCCTCTATCTTGTCTGCTGTCATGATTCATGCAGCTATTATTTCATCCAAATGAAAAATGGAGAACAGAGAAGCAGATCATGGCTTGTCTACAGTGAAAAGAAGGACTGGGTTATTTACTTTGGCCTTTTTGGAAACACAGGAAGGAGCAATCAGCTAAGTGAGCTTAGTGCTTGGAAAAAATCTTTCATTCCTTTAGAGACAGCATGAAAAGTCAGCTGAGTACAAAACATAGAGAGGAAAACAAGAAGAAAAGGGACAAGAAGAGAGGGACACAACCTAGAACAGATAATGGATGTCTATTCTATTAACATTTCTCTATCTGGAGAATGGGGCTGTTCTATGTGTTGTCTTCTCAATTCAGAGGGCCCCTGCCTGTCTTTGCCTATGGCCCCGAATTTCCTTAATCCGCCCCTGGCAGTAGCCTTACATGTTTGAAGTTCCCTCATTAACGTGTCATGTTTGTTAGCTGTCAGAATTCTGAGAAAAAAGTCAGAATTCTGAGGAAAAAATTCTGACTTTTTTAATAAAATTTAAAAATCAGTTAATTTTTTTTTTTTTCAGTGGCCCTAATCCTGTGCCGTAAAAACGCAAAGTCTTCAGCCTTGTTTGCTCTGCAGCTCTGAAATGTGAGCCGCCTGTCGCCTGCTGCTGCCCGGACCGCGCAGCTCCACTCCGGGGGGGCTCCGGGAGAGGGAGGTAGGCTGCTGGGTGGGCGGAGTCAGCGTGCTCTGCTCTGATTGGACCAGAGTGACGTATCGGGAACCACTTCCCGGTCCGTGTTTGTTACTGGAAGGAAGGGGGAGAGGCAGACTGCGGTGTTGTTAGTTTGAACAAAATGGCTGAAGGACCGCTGTCACCGAGAGCTCACTGAACGCCCACCGCGACCGTCCCGCTCCGCAGTCCGGGTTTCCCCCGCGGAATGATTTTCCCTCGGAGCCGCAGCTCGGTTAGCATTCCGGGGCAGCCCGCGCGGCGCTAGCCGTCCAGCCGGGGCAGCTTCAACTAAAACCAGTCTTTTTTTTGCACTTTAAAACAAGTTGCCTGGCTGGCGCGCGGACAGAGAACTCTCTCTCTCTCTCTCTGTCTGTCTCTCTCTCTCTCTGTGACGATTTTTTTCTTTCTTTTACAAAAAACTGCCTAAATTCTCCTGTTTATTTTTATTTTTTTTACGCCGACGGCTGATATTTTAACGGCAGCTTAAACCATTTTAGCTGCTTTTTAAAGTCAGTCGTGTTATTTTGTTTTGTTATTAATGGTGCTTTCACCTGACTTTAAAAAAAACGGTTGTTTTTCACTCCGTTGAATCTTAAATCGTGTTTTATTTGACCGCTGTTTTTATTTTTGGATGCTTAAAGCAGAAATTACCGTATTATCTGTGTGTTTCTGTGGCTGCGCAGCCGTTGTTTACCTCGGTATCCTGCTTCAGCAGCGGTCCCGCTTTCATTCCCACTAAATCTCTGCACCAACGCTTTACGGGTAACTTTTTGAGGAAAAGAAAGCAATTAAAAGAAAAAAAAATGTTTTGTTTTTTTGCTTATTTTCCTGCCATACACCAATTTTTTCACTGGAAGCGGCCAAAGCTGATCTGAACGAAAGGTAAGTGGTTTTTTCCCAGCTTAAACTGTTTTAATAACAAAGATACACATAATAATTTCATTGGCTTACTCCTAAATATCAATACTTATTCAAAAAATTATAAAACAAACCTCATAAAGTCATGTTTTAATATCACATGCTTAATTTTTATTATGACATCCAATCAGAAAAGCTCTGATCATCAGAGGGGTTCTTTCAATTATACCAGATTGGCAGTATATAGAATTTATATATAGATTATATGGTGTTTGTGTCAGTGATTTGAAAATATTGGACATATTTTTATCTTTATGTCATTCTAAGTGTTCTAAAATACAGCTGATTGTGTCATACTCTGAATATAGGTGCACAGATAAAGTGTTTCTGGTTCATAGTTTGAGGTCTGATCTTTTTATTTTAAATCTGTATTTTACGAAGAGCTATGAATCATAGAATAGAAAAAATATGTCCGTTTTAAGGAGAAATTGATGTTCAGTCTTAAATAGATAAATAAAAAATGCCCTCAGGCAACATGCGTTGTTCTTTCTAGTTGGGAATATTTGTTTTAGATGGATTATCTTCTAATTCCTTCTATTTTTGGAGACAAATATGTGCCAGAAATAAAAAGCATGTTCTTCCTGTTCTCCACTGAATCAGAATCAGAAATACTTTAATGCTTTAATAAACCAAAGATATCAGAGAAACCTGGGAATTTAGTGATGGTGGAGCTTGTTTGAAGCATCTGATTTTAAATTCCCTCTTCAGCCTATTATATATATATATATATATATATATATATATATATATATATATATATATATATATATATATGTGTGTATGTGAGAGTATCACATCATGTATCATGCAGACTATTGCACATTCCACTAAACCGGTGCATTATTAGAAATAGCTGTCTTGTCCCCCTCCTTCCCTGCTCCCCCCCCTCTCCTCCGTCTCGAATGCCCAGTTTCTGATTGAACTGTCGCCTTCCATTGCATCGCCCTTTTCCCTGCATCCTGTCCCTGAGGCGATGGAGTATAGCTTTTAATATCTCCGCCTCATGTCTTAATTGAAGTACATCATTTCCTGTTCAAATTCAACCCCCCTCTCGCCTGACATTTTTGTCAAATTGTCTTCTCTATCTTCACACACCAGCGAGGTGATGAAAAAGAGAAGAAAAAAAATAACATGCACATATAAGAGACATCGTAATTTTTCTATAAACCATGTAGATGTGCACCTAGAAGCTGGTTTGGATGTTTCTGTTTGGTTTGCTGTGTGCCTTAGTAGAGGAAATATGACTCTTGTTTTGCAGTCAGTTGCTGCTTTCGCTGGTGTACCCGCTGTTTCAGTTGGTGAATTCATCTCAGGTTTAGTAGCTGATGAATGAAGGCAACCCTCCCCGACTGTCCAAAAAAAAAACCCCAACAAAAATGTGAGAAATGGTGAAGAATAGTCGGGATTATGTGAAGAAGATGGGAGATTAAATGTTGGTTTCTTGAGTGCAGCTGTGAGTCTTTCTCCTCGATCGACTCTGATCAGTAATTGCTGAAAAACTAGATTATTTGAAAAATAAAAATCCGTAAAAGATCAAGGAATTTACACCTTCCAGTCTTGTGAATCTTTGTTGTGTTGATTTAGGGGGGAAAAAAGTTATTTTAGGTCCTCTTGTGTTTTTTTTTCTTTTCTCGTTTGGTCTAATTCTTCAAGAAAGACTTCTGAATCAGCTGGTCAGACCTCAGAGAAAACCAGAAGTCGGTTTCAACCAAGGCTGAGTCAATTAATCGTGATTAATCGATTATAGTAATAATCGTCAACTAATTTAGTAATCAATTAACCTTTAATTGGAGTACAGAAACTGTAAAAACATGCATTTAGCTGAAAGAGCAACCCACTTGGAGCAGGAATTATATGAAGATTGTAAAAATATATAAACATTTGGATTTTAAGAAAAAAAAATGCTTTCTTCTGTCAATTTGCTCCATCAAGAACACCTCAAGTAGAAAAGTTTTAAGTTTCACCTGGTTTAATTTAATAAAAGGACCTTTGGCTAGATAATTAATCGATTAAGTTGAAAAATAATCGACAGGTTCATCTGTTAGTTTCAACCAAGAAAATCTTAATGAAAAGCTTGTTTTTAGAACATATAGTTCTTAAGTCTGTCTGTGTCAACTTCTGAAAACAGTTTAATAGACATTAACGGTAAATGCTTAATTTCGTTGCTTTGTTTTCTTTATTTTTAAGAAGCTATGAGTCCCGTGGGCTGTAGCTGGAATTGTGCTTCTGGCTGTTGGCTTTCAGGCGTTATTTTTCATTAGACTGTATCGTATCAAAGCCACGAGGACAAACCCAGCTCTGCAGCTCCCCTCTGCAGCTGGCTTTTATCGCAGAAGGCCGAGATCGGTGATATGAAAGAGAAACCCAAGGCTTACTCTGCCCTGTTTGACCCTTTACATTAAAAACATGTCATTAGCCATGTTTATATTTTAACCCCATGGCTTACAGTTGCTTTAAAAAAACAAAACAAATCAAGATGTCTGAGCAATAATTAATGTTTTACTGTTACTGTCAAGTAAAACAAAGACAAACTTGAACTTCTCAGCTCTGTGTTGCATAGAGTGACATTAGCCAGAGCCCCACTGTGACTATCACTGAACCTGTGATTATGAGGCTTTTCAGACAGCTCGCACCGTCCTGATAGATAACATGCTTAACGCCGCCACAGGGGGCTGCTCCGGCAGGGGAGCGTTGACAGTAGAATCAGCTGGACTCAATTGGTGACTGCCAAAAGCCATTATCCCCCCCCCTTCTCTTTGTGCATGGTTGTTTTGAAGTGAGGTTATGGGGGGGCGATGGAGATTACCTAGGCATGTGAGTTCATTCAGTGTGCTCACAGGCGGTGACTGTTGGACAACTAGAGCAGTTTCAAACGATGGAAGAATCGACGGCACATCTGGTTCGGCATCTTTTTAAAGGAACAGTCCGGTCAGCAAGTAATGATCAATGGATCATTATTCATACCTAAAACTAATACATTTGCAGTAGGGGTGGGTATTGCCAAAGAAGTCACGATTCGATTCGAATCACGATTCACAGGCCACGATGCGATTCTATCACGATGCATCACGATACTTGAATTATTGCGATGCATTGCAATATTTTCTCCTCCATGTTTTGTTTTTGAATGACTCGTCGCAGTATCCCATGGCCGGAAATGCCTGTGACACAAGGTAGCGTGCGTCAACACATTTGCAGCAACATTTACTGGACTGGAAGTTGTATTACACTTGTTTTTGGCTGATGTTCGCCAACCATTCATGCAATTTTATTTATTCATTTTTTTAAATTAATAATCGATACTTGGCGTCAAGAATCGATGCAGTAGATCACGAAAATTAGAATCACAATGCATCATCATGACGATTATTTTGCACACCCCTAATTTGCAGTGATTTATTACATTTAGGGGTAATTAGTAAAAGATGAAAATCACCTAGTCTATAGTAACACCTCACTCCTGATTCCAATAAAATTAAAAAAAGAACAACAAACCAGTGGACTTTGTTTCCATGTTTGAAGATGTTTCTCTTCCATCCAGGAAGACTTTTCAATTAAAAATGTCAGAAATAGTGTTGAGTTTCAGGTTTTATAGAGTAGCCCAACAAAGCCTTGATTTGGCCTAGAAAATATGCAGATTGAAGCTGATTAGCAGCTCCACCCCTTTGGAATAAGGGTTGCTTGGTTTATTTGTTAACCTGTAATACCCAAAGCCTGGAACTCAACGCTATTTCGGACATTTTGAATTGAAAAAGCTTCCTGGATGGAAGAGAAACGACTTCAAACTTGGAAGCAAAGTCCAGTAGATTTGTTGTTTTTACTTTTTTGGAATGACTATGACCTGGATGACTGAAAATCTTCATCAGCACACCTCCCTCCCGCCATCTTCCAGCAGTGACGTCACGGTGCGGTAAGCCTAGCGCCATTCTCCCCGCTTTACAAGCTAAATCAATGGGAACTACTAGACACATCTGCAATCAACAACAATTATTGAAGATTTCCAGATGACTTCACCATTGAAATTCACCAGAGCTATAGTGAAACTGACAATGCCCACGTGCATGGCAGCTGGATGCTGGAATACATCGGGTAAAAGTGAAAAAAAAGAGTTATTCCACCTTTCTGATTCCTGATCCTCCACGGACGGGTTGGTCGTTGGATCGCCAACTTGAAGAGGGAGGATTTGCCATCGAACTTCTGGCCAGAGAAAAAACCCGTAATATGTAGCCAACATTTGGAAGAAGAATGTTTTCAAGATGACTTGGATAATAGCGCGTTGTGACAAACACCAGATACAGCACTGGGACTTGATCAACAGCCGATACCGCACCGTGACTTAACTAACCAGTAGGTAATTAAAAACACTGATCATTTATTGAACAGGATGGAATCATTTCATATTTAAAGTACTTTCAGAAGTTTGAATTCTGAATATGAGCGGACTTTTCCTTTAAGTACATTTTTGGGGAAGAAATTGTGATTTCTTGGATTCCAGATATGCTGAAATGTAAACTGTCTCGACATTTTATGCAGTAAAATCATACCAGCATAGTTTTAGATGTTATACACAAAGAAGGGAGCTGTGTGTGTGTAACCTTCCCTCTGCTATGAGTTGTTTGCCAGCAGAGAGGCCGGGGGCTAAAGGGGCCCTGCCTGGGGTAAGCCGGCCTGAGCCAGAATGAAAGCAGGGGGGTGGGGGGTGGGGACCGAGCCAAAGCCGCTGCCTGGGAGTCTTGGCGGGGATCCAGGGGAATGTTCTGTGTGCCCAGGTTTGGTAGCCCCCCCCCGTCCTTCCCACTGCTCACTTTTGGCTAATTGGAAAGACGATGGTCGAAGAACAAGGGCATCACATATCCAGCGTAACGTCTCACTCCACAGGACTTGGGCTCTACTGCACTTCCTAAGCCTCAGGGTAACGCGGTGGCATGATCCGGGTGAGCTGAGGTCGTGGCCCTGGGTGCTAA